ACTGTGCATTCAGGGTCCCCGGTTGAGTAAGACTGTTTATGACAATTTGTACCCATCAGCACCTTCCAGCATTATGAGGGCTAGCCAAGAGAGAGGAGGTTTCCACCCTAATTCCAGCTTTATTTTCCTTTGTTCTGTGACTACAGTATGTGGCCTCTTCAGCAATAACATCTTACTGTGTAGCTCTAGTGTGCAACCAACACTGGTAGAAATTGTCTATGTTGTTTGGAGGTCCTCAGGAGCCTCCAGACCAACCTGTCAGGAATCAGTCCACCCCTGGCACTGGGATTTTCATTCAGATGCTATGGAAGTCACAGAGTGTCTGATCCCCTAGAACTAGAGTTACAGATGGTTGTGAGGCCATGTGGGTGCTCGGAATCAGTCTGTGATCCTCTGCAAAAGTAACAGGTGTGCATGATCTCTCCAGCTTCATCAATCTCTTTTTCTTATTATTTTTTTAAATTTAGCTTTCCAAGTATCAGATTTCTTTTTTTTTTCTTTTTTTCGTGACGTGTTTACTCTGTGTAGCTTTGGAGCCTATCCTGGAACTCGCTCTGTAGACCAGATTGGCCTTGAACTCACAGAGATCCACCTGCCTCTGTCTCCCGAGTACTGGGATTAAAGGCATGTGCCACCACCACCTGACCAGATTTTCTTAATGAATTTTTCACACATTGTTGATTTTAGTTGACTCTTGTCTCTTCATCTCGATGTCCCCACCTCCCCACTTTAAACATTCCACCCCCACTATTTCCCTTCCGTTTTCGTATCTGTGTCCTACTACCCCATGTCTTTTAAAATCTCTCTTTCCCAGTCTCCTGGGCCCCTTTCTAGTTTTCTGGTCTCTACAAACACTCACTCCCACAAAAATGCAATTTGTAAAAATAGAAACTAGAAACTGTGTATGCGAGAAAACATTAAGTAGTAGTCCTTCTGAGCCTAGGATACTTGTCTTACTATAGTGTTTTTCCAATTCTATACATTTCCTTGAAATTTGCATCACTTCAGTTTTCTTTGTGTATATACATCATATTTTCTTTATCTGTTCATAAGTCCATAGGCATCACGGCGGATTCCACTTTCTTGTAGTTGTGAATCCAGCAGCAATAAACATGGATGAACAAGTATCTCTGTGGTGAGATATAGACTCCTTTGGGTGTGTGCCTAATAGCAGATCATGTGGTAGATCTTATCTCTAGCTTTCTGAGGAATCCACAATGATTTTCATAATGACTGCACCAGTTTACACTCCTACTAACCGTGAAGAAGGATTCATTTTTCCACATCCTAGCCAGCATTTGCTATCATCTGTGTTCTTAACAAAAGCCATTCCAATGTAATGCCAGTCATTCTAGTCTGCATTTCCTTGATGGATAAGGATATTGATCACATTTTTAAAGCATGTATTGGCTATTTGTATTTCTTTTTTTCAAGTTTAAAAACTAAGCCAGCTTTTTGGATTGAATTGTTTCCTTATTATTTTGCTTTTTAAATTATTTGTATATTACAAATATCAATCTCCTGTTCAGATATACAGGCTGCAAAAACTTCTTCCCATTCTTTAGGCTGCCTCTTCACTCAATAAACTGTTGTCTTTGCTATACAGAAGATTTTTAATTTCATGAAGTCCGTTTTGTCAGTTGTTGGTCGTATTTCCTGAGCGACTAGAGTCCTATCCAGAAAGCCTTTGCCTATGCCTGTATCTTGTAGTATTTTCCCTACATTCTCTTCTGGCAGTTCCAGTTTAAAGTGTCACATATGAACTTTGATCCATTTGGAGTTGATTTCCATACAGGGTGAGAGCTGTGGATCTAGTTCCATTCTTCTCTTTGTAGATAAATGATTTTCCCAGCTGTGCTTACCTGCTTATCAAAACTCAGGTGAGTATAATTGGGAGAGCTTGTATTATGGGTTCTATTGTAGTTCAAAAGAAAATGGCCCCCAAAGGGAGAGGCACTATTAGGAGGCGTGGTCTTGTTGGGGTGGGTGTGGTCTTCTCGGAGGAAGTGTGTCACTGTAGAGATGGACTTTGAGGTCTCATATATGCTCAAACCATGCCCAGTGCCTCAGACCACTTCCTGTTGCCTATATATCAAAGTGTAAAACTCTCAGCTCCTCCAGCACCATGCATGCTACCGTGGATTAAATTTCTGAAACTGTAAGCCACCGCATTAAATGTTTTCTTTTATAAGAGTTGCAATAGTCATGGTGTCTCTTCATAGCAATAGAAACCCTAACTAAGACAGGTTCTCAGTTTAATCCCAAATATCTATATGTCTGTTTTTGTACCAGTACCATTCTGCAGTTTTTACTGCTATGACTCTTCAGTATAACCTGAAATCAGGTAGGGTGAGACCCTTGACATTCTTCTTTAAAAAAAATTTTTTTTAATTTTTTAAAATTTATTCTTTGAGAATGTCATGCATGTATATAATCATCCCCTTCCAACTCTCCCTAAACCTGCTGACCCCCAAACCCCAACAAATATGAACACACATATATAACTAGATAGATAGATAGAGACACAGATATCCACTGAATCCAATTAGTGCTGCTCAGATAAGCATGAATGTGGGACAGAAATGCATGAATGTGGGGCTATACACTGGAGCATGGACAACTTACCAATGGCCACACCCCCAAAGAAAAATAGCCGTCCTTTCTGCAGCAGTCATGAATTGTCACTGGCTCCTCAGCTGGGAAGGAGGGCTCACAAGCCCCTCCCCCATCCACCCTCTATCGTTCTTATCCAGAATTGTTTTGCCTATCCAGAGTCTTTTGCGCTTCCGTATGAATTTTAAGATTGCTTTTCCATTAATATAGAAAATAAAGTTGGAATTTTGATAGAGATTGCATTGAAAATCTGTCGATTGGTTTGAGGGAAATGGTCATTTCCACAATATTAACTCTTCCAGTTTATGAACGTGAGGAGGTTTTCCATCTCCTTGTGTCTTCTTCAATGTCTTTAGTGTATTGCAGCTTTCAATGCAATTCCTTTGTTGCGTATTTGAGTGTTTTAACCATGATCTAACATGGAGGAGACTTTTTTCCTAGTCATACCTATTTGGTGTTTTATGTACCTTTTGTACATAGATGGACCTCTGTTTCCCTTAAGGTGGAAATATTTTTACTACAATTATGTAGAAAATATTTTCAACAACTTAGGCATGGAATTCAACATCCTCTAAGCCACAATTCATAAATTTGGACTTTCCATGGTGTCCTAAGGATATCATACATTCCACACACTTATTTTATTAAACACCAGTCATTAACTTTGACTTACCATCTCAATTCCTTACTGTGCCTCCAATCCCTGCCACTCTCTCTGCCCCCGGGATCGATAGTTGGCGAGGCTTTCCACTGCATTATTTATTTCACTCAAGTTTGTCATTTCCAGCATCATTTCAGTTTGGCTTTTCTATCTCTTTCTTTAATCCCACTTTCATATCTGACATTAGCTTCCTTATTTCCTTAAGCTATTTATTTATGTCTACTTTCATTTCTTTAAATAGGTTTTCACTTCTTTGAATATGTCAAGGAAATGAGAACATATTCATAATGATTCTATTAAAAATTATTTCTAAGTCACTTTGATCAGGAGTCACTACTCTGGGGTGTATAGTTTAAAGAAGAAACAGGATTTTTGCCCCTTATTTTCTAGGTATGTGTGTGTGTGTGTGTGTGTGTGTGTGTGTGTGTGTGTGTGTGTGTGTGTGCGCGCGCGCGTGTGTGTGTGCATCACATGTGTGCACTGCCTTCAGAGGCCAAAGGACAGTGTTTGATCCCCTGAAATAGGAGTTACAGACAGTTGTAGGTTCTGGGAATCAAACACAGATCCTCTGGAAGAGCAGGCAGCCCTAACCACTGAGCCATCTCTCCAGCAAGAGATAAGTTGTCTTGATTTTTCATGTTATTGGTGATTTTGCACTGGAGCTTCCAGGTCCAGTGTCAGACTTAATTTCTCTTAGGTCACTTTTCTTGTTTTAATGAGTGTTTGCAGTGTTCCAGAGGGATTAGGTTATAGTAAAGTTATTGTTTCCCTCTGTGCTTAGGGTACTAAGCTCTGTCTCTCTGATCCTATTCTGAAAGTGGGATACCATCTTCAATAATAGTTACTACAAGGAGTAGGTCCATTTATTGTTGGAGATGACCGGTCATCTCTCGTGTTCCTTTCCTGGTTCCTAGAAACCTGTCTTGCAGCTTGGAGTTCCTCGGGCACTGAGCATTCCTTCCTGTGCTCTCTAATGGTGAGCACCTGTCTGGACCAGCTCTGGGGTTGAATCTGTTTACACTCTGGCTCTGGCTTCTACTCTAGATCTTGTTTGGCTCTGGCTGACTTTAGATCTAGCCTTGGCTCTAACTCTGGCTTGCCATCTGGAAATGTGTGTCTGCCTTTTGGAATGAGTTTGGCACACCTACACTGAGCGTTTAGACTGGGCCTTGGTGTTCTGTCAGCTTAGCTGGTCTTGTCTCACTAAGTGCTACATGTAATTCAGTCTGAGAGACAATTGATGCCCATTCATGAGTTCGGGAGTTAACTTACCTGGGTGATGGTGGGTCAGTGGGAGGGATACAGTGCTTATGGACAATTTATTCTTGTGATTCAAAATATAATTAACCCTTTGACTAATACTGCTAATTCATTCTGCATATTTGTCTCAGCTAAATTGTCAATTCCTTTCAGAAATCTCTACCTCACCCCAGCCTGGAGTAGGGGCCTCCAGTCTCAAAGGTCCTTGTTTTTCTTGCTGCTGCAACACATATCACCATTTATTGAAATTTCCTGTGTAATTATCGATCCCTCTAAAAAGGAAAAAAAAAACCCACAAAAGGAAAGCAGTCAATTACATTATTACTGTTGAATAATTAATTAATTAACAGCTAATAGGCTAGTGGGCACTGGAGTCATGCAGTGGAAAACACTAGTAAGCAGAGCAAGAGCAAACGCCTCTTAATCAGCTCACACTTCCTCTCTCAAGCTTCCGGAAACACCATACGTGAAATAAAGAGTCTCCTAGACTTCTCCTCGAGAAGACTCCAGCCTGCCGGAGATGGCTCAGCACCCCCTGTGGATCTGGTTCCTTTGCCTGCAAACCTGTAAGTTCTGAACCTTGTTAGAATTAACTCCTCCTTTCCCCATAAAATTTTAGAAAGTATGCTTGAGAAGGCATTGACATGTGCCTTTGATCTATTTTCAGCAGCACATCCTGAGTTGCTGCTTGTATTATACTCACAACATTTAACTACAGGAAGAACTTAAGATCCAAACTATGTGCTTTATTTCATTAAACCAATAAACCAATCACCTTCCACTTGATAGTTCAGTTCCTAACTATGTCTTCGACTCCTGATACTCTCTCCTCCTCCCCATGATCCAATTTGTTGGTGAGGCTTTCCACCAAACTGTTTATTTGACGTAAGTCTTTCATTTCCAGTGTCATTTCAGTTTGATTTTTCTTTTGCATTTCCATCTCTTTATTTAATCCTCTCACCTTAGCTGGCCTTGTCTCCATAAAATGTCTGGGACGTAGTAGGCAGTTAATAAATGTTTTGTTGGATAGTTAATTAGTTAATGCTAGGCACCAGAATCATATAATGGAACGCTATAGCAAGTAGGATAAGAACCAATGCTTCTTGTTTTTTTATTAAGAAATTTTATTATTCATTTTACATACCAATCACAGATTCCCCCTATTCTCTCCTCCCACCCCTCCAGCCTTCCATCCCACTCCCCATTCCCTCCTATAAGAAGGTAAGGCCTCCCTGGTACATTCAGTAGAGGCAGGTCCAAGCCCCTGCCCCTGCATCAAAGCTGTACAAGGTGTCCTACAGCAGGTAGTGGGCTCCAAAAGGCCAGCTCATGCACCAGAGATGGGTCCTGATCCTACTGCCAGGGGGCCCCTTATGCAGATCAAGCTACACACAGTCTCGCTTATGCAGAGGGCCTAGTCCAGTCCCATGCAGGCTCCACAGCTGTTGGTCTAAATTTCATGAGTTCCCACTAGTTTGCTTTGGTTGTCTCTGTAGGTTTCCCCATCATGATCTTGATATCCCTTGCTCATAGAATCCCTCTTCTCTCTCTTCAACTGGACTCCCGGAGCTCAGCCTGGTGTTTGGCTGTGGATCTCTGCATCTACTTCCATCAGTTACTGGAGAACCAATGCTTCTTTTTATTTTCTTTTTTTCCCATTTATTGAAAATAGATGCTTTGCTCATACAATATGTCCTGATTACAGTTTCCCCTCTCTAAACTCCTTCCAGTTCCTCCCTGACTCCCCTCCCCTCCAGATCCACTCCCTTTTTGTCTCTCGTGAGAAAAGGCCAGGCTTCTAAAGATAGCAAACAAACATTACAAAATAAAATATAATAGGAGGAAACAAAAGCCATCACACTGAGGCCGGACAATGCAATCCAAGAGAAGGGAAAGAGCCCAAGAGCAGACATAAGAATCAGATCCATTAGTTCAACACACAGGAGTCCTGTAAAAAAGACTAAGCTGAAAGCTAGAGAATCTACGCAGAGGACTCGGTGCGGCCCCATGAAGACCCTGTGCTCGCCGCATCAGTCTCTGTGAGCTCCTATGAGCCTTGCTGAGTTGACTCCGAGAGCCTTGTTCTCCTGGTGTCCTCTGTCACCTCTGTCACTTATACTCTTTCTGCCTCCTATTCCGAGGGGTTCCCTGTGCTCCCAGGGGAGGGATTTGATGGAGACTTCCCATTTAGAACTGTGTGTGTGTTCCAAGGACTCTCTCTCCTCATAATGTCTGGCTGTGGGTCTCTGCCTCTGTTCCTGTCTGCCACAGGAGGAAGCTTATCTGATGAAGGTTAAGAAAGGCACTTATCTATGAGTAGAGCAGAATATCATTAAGAGTCATTTTATTGTGTGTGTGTGTGTGTGTGTGTGTGTGTTTTAAGACAAGTAGTGTTTGGTTTTACCCTAGGTCTCTGGGCTATCTAGTTTCTGGGTCACACAAGCAGTGGTCAGTATGGGCTCCATCTCATGGAGTGTGCTTTAAGTCAAGTCAGACATTGGTTGGCTACTCCCACAAGTTCTCTGCCACCATTGCCCTGGCACATCTTTCATGCAGGACAGATTGTAGGCCAAAGGTTTTGAGGCTGTGTCAGTGTTTACTTTCTCTTTTGGTAGCCTGCAGAGTCCCTTCCAATACCAGAGACACTAGAATATAGGGGTAAAGGCTCAACATAGGCACCAGCTAGGTTTCTCCTAGCTGAGTTGTGTTGGTGTTATCCTCCAAAATGGGGCCCCACTATCAGTTTGTGGAGAGCAAACCCTTGTCTTAACAATAGCCTGGGTCATTTGGGGATTTCCATGGGACTCTCTAGTCCAACAACTCAACTAAAGGAAACCCAGTCATAGTACTGGAAGCCACATTTGGTGACAAGAGATGGCCAGTTGGGACCCTGTCTCCCCAGTTATCAGGAGGCCTCATTAGGATTACCTTCATACATTTTAGAAAGTTTCCACTGCACTATATTTCCATGTTATCCCTCAAATGCCCCTCAGTTCTAGCTATCTCTCCCTGCATTCCCTTCCTCAACCCTATCTCCCTTCCCCCTTCCCAATGGATCCTCCTCTCCTGTTTCTGTCCCAACTCTGTACCCAGTCCACCCATAAAATCTATTTTATTTTCCTCCTCCCAGAGAGATTCATGTGTCCCACTCTTTTACCTTCCTCTGTACCTAACCTCTCTGGGTCTGTCAATTGTAGGTTGGTAATCATTTATTTAATGACTAATATCCACATATAAGTGAATGCATACCTTATATCTTTCTGGGTTACCTCACTCAGAATGACTTTTTTCTAGTTCCATCCATTTGTATATAAATTTCATGAAGTCAAGTTTTTTTAAAAGCTAAGAAATACTCCATTGTGAAAATGTACCACAATTTCTTTATTCATTTTTCTGTTAAGGGACATCTAGGTGGTTTCTAGTTTTGGGCTATTATGAATAGAACAGCAATAAACATGGTTGAGCAGGTATCCCTGTAATAATATGAAGCATCTTTTGGGTATATGACCAAGAGCAGTACAAATGGATCTTGAGGTAGATAGATTCCCAACTTTCTGAAGAGCTGCCATGTTGATTTCCATAATGGCTGTATAAGTTGGCACTCCCACCAGCAATGGATGAGCATTCCCTTTATTCCATATCCTCTCCAACAAGAGCTGTCACTAGTATTATTGATCTTAGTCATTCTGACAGATGTAAGGTGGAATCTCAAAGTAGTTTTGATTTGCATTTTACTGATGGCTAAGGATATTGAACAATTCTTTAAGAGGTTTTTCAGTCATTTGAGTTTTCTCTATGGAGAATTCCCTGTTTAGATCTGTAGCCCATTTTTTAAACTGGATTATTTGGTTTTCTGATATCTGGTTTCTTGAGTTCTTTATATATTTTAGGTATTAGTTCTCTATTAAATGATAAGTTGCTGAAAGTCTTTTCCCACACTATAACATGAATTGCTAAACAGTCTTACTAATAAAAAACTCAGAGCAAGATATTGAGGTGAAAGCTGAAAGATCAGTGGGACAGAACAAGCCAACTACAAGTTCTTACCGCTAGGAAATCCTCAGCACAAGCAAGCTACTTCCTGTGTACTCACGCCTATATAACTTTCTGTGCCCTGACATCTTACTTCTTCTCTCCACCCAGCTACATCATTTCCTCTTTCTGCCAAGCACTATCACTTCTTGTCTGTCTGTACAGACCTCTAGACCTCTATGGTTAACTAGTGCTAGGATTAAAGGAGTGTGCCACCAAGCCTGGCTCTGTTCCCAGTGTGGCCTTGAACTCACAGAGATCTGGAATAATCTCTGCCTCCTGAATGCTAGGATTAAAGGCAGATGCTACCACTACCTGATCTCTATGTTTAATATAGTGGCTGGCATTTTCCTCTGATCCCCAGGCAAGCTTTGTTAGAGCACAAATAAAATATGACCACACCATTCTGTAGGCTGCCATTTTGTTTGAATGAAAGTGTCTTTACAGAAACGTCTCAGTTTCATAAAGTCCCATTTATTAATTGTTGATCTTAGTGCCTACATTATCCATGTTCCATTCAAGAAGTCTTCTCCTGTGCCAATGAGTACAAGGTTATCCCCAACTTTCTCTTCCATCAGTTCAGTATATCTGATTTTTATGTTGAAGTCTTTGATCCACTTGGACTTGAGTTTTGTGCAGGGTGATAAGTATGGAGTTATTTGCATTCTTCTAAATACAGACATCCAGTTAGACCAGAACCATTTGTTGACTATTCTTTCTTTTTTCCATTGTATAATTTTAGTTTCTTTTTCAAAAATCACATATCCATAGGTCTGTGGATTTATGTCTGGGTCTTCAATTCAATTTCATTGATCAACACGTCTTTTTTATGCCAATACCATGCTATTTTTATTACTATATCTTTGTAGTATTACTTGAAATCAGGAATGGTCAGACCTCACAAATTTCTTTTACTGTTCAGGATTGTTTTAGATATCCTGGTTTTTTGTTTGTTTGTTTGTTTTTCCATATGAAGTTGAGAATCGTCCTTCTGTCAAGTTCTGTTGAGAATTGTGTTGGAATTTTGATGAGGGTTGCATTGAATCTTTAGACTGCTTTTTGTAGAATGTTAATTTTACTATGTTAACCCTACTGATCCATAACCATGGGAGATTTTTCCATCTTCTGATATTTTTATCTATTTCTTTCTTCAACATCTTACAGTTTTTAATCATACAAGTCTTTTACTTGCTTGGTTAGAGTTAACCCAAGAAGATATTTTATATTTTTTGAGGCTATAGTGAAAGATACTGTTTCCCTGATTTCTATAGGAAGGCTACAGATTTTTATGAGTTAATTCTGTATCCAGCTACTTTGCTGAAAGTGTTTATTACCTGTAGGAGTTCCCTAGTGGAATTTCTAGTGTCACTTATGTATACTACTATATCATCTGCAAATAAAGATACTGTGACTTCTTCCTTTCCAATTTATATGCCCTTGAACTCCTTTAGGTGTTACTGCCCAGGGGTGGAGAAGTAGACAAGCTTGTCTTGTTTCTGATTTTAGTTGAAATCCTTTGAGATTCTCTCCATTT